GACCCCGCCCCTCTGGCCTCTTCCGATTGGCTCTCGCTCTACCTATTGCTAAAGCTGAAAGAAGGTCCAGCTGAGTGACCCCCGCGGCGCGTGCTCGGATGCTAGGGACGCCCCGCCGGTTTCCCTGGCAACAGCGGCAAGGAGGCACGCCCAGCGCCGGAGAGGTCTCCCTTATCCCTGCTCTTGAGACTTCTCTCCTTAAACGTCTCTCCTTAGAAGACCTGAGGTCTTTCGCGCAAATCGAAACTGTGTACTGCGCTACTCCTGGGCTCCAAGCACAGAAGAAACCATGTGCTTTTGGTAGCTTTTATAGCGCCAAGGTTACAAAAGCCCTTTCATCTACATTTAATCTTAGTTCTGTTTAGTAATTCTTAAAAATTCCAGTCCATGGATGAGAAAAAGGAACTTAGGTTAATTGACTTGCCCATGGCCAAATAAGGAGAGTCCTATATGTTGAGAAAAGAAGTTTGGACTTTTTCTTATAATATTAAACATTTAACAGTTAATTCATTCACATTTATTCCTTTACTGGTTGTTTTTATTGAAAAAGTAATTATGCAGATGATATTTTAAAAACCCCAAACAACACATTCATTAACTCGACGAGTATTTGTTGGTTGCCTATTATGCACCAGGCAGTGTTCCAAAAGAGAGTAGTACAGTAAACAGGCAAATACTTAGTATGTCAAGTGGTGCTAAGAATTAAAGGTATTAGGGAATATTAGGGAAGCGGTATTTAGAGAGTGTGTATGGGAAGGCACTACATACAGTGTAATCAGGAAGTCTCACTAAAAAGTGACATTTGAGCCTTACTGAATGAAGTAAAGAAATGTACCATTGAGAATATCTGGAGGAAGAGTATTTCAGGTACTTGAATGGCACGTGCAAAGCCCTTGAATTGGAAGCATATTTGAAATGCTGGAAGAATAGCAAGAAGGCCAGTGTGGCTGGAGGAGAAAGAGAAAGGCGGAGAGCAGAATATAAGTACAAAGGACAACTTACATTGAAAAATAACTACCCCCCACCCACCCAAGACTCCTGGTTCCTCCATCCTCTTGATCAGAAGGAACCAGTATCACTGTCTTGTTTATACTTCTGAAATATTCTTTTTTTTTTTTTCCTTTTTGTCTTTTTTCGTGTCCGGCAACGGATCGCAACCCTCAGTGTCGCGCCCGTACCAGACCGGGACCGGCAAGGGGATCGCAACCCTTGGTGTTGCTCCCACACCTCGCTCATCCAGTGAGCGGGAACCGGTCTGTATGTGGGATCCGAACCCTCGGCGGGAGCGCCACCCCGCTCCCCAACCGCGCCCCGGAGCACGGCGCCCCCCCGGCCGCCCCCCTCCATCTCCTCAATACTATTCACATGT